TCTCAAGATGAAAAGTTTAATTTTTTAAAAAGCTATTAAAAATATTTTTTAGGGCCCTCATATGTTCACTGGTGAATTCTACCAAACACTTAAGGAAAAATTTATTCCAATTCTCTACAATCTCTTCCAGAAGATAGAAGCAGAGGGAACACTTCCTAACTCATTCTATGAGACTGGCATTACCCTAACACCAAAATCAGACAAAGACATTACATGAAAACTACAGGCCAATATCTCTCATGAACACAGATGCAAAAATCCACAACAAAATATTAGCAAATTGAATCCAAGAATGTATAAAAACAACTATACACAATGATCAAGTAGGATTTATTCTGGGTATGCAAATTTGGTTCAACATCCAAAAAGCAAATAATGTAACCCATCACATCAACAGGCTAAAGAAGAAAAATCACATGATCATATCAGTAATTGCAAAAAAAGTATGTGACAAAATCCAACACCCATACATGATAAAAACCGTAAATAGAGGGGAGCTTCCTCAACTCGATAAAGAACATCTACCCAAAACCCTACAGCTAACATCATACTTAATGGCGAGAAACTGGAAATTTTCCTGCTAAGATCAGGAACAAGGCAAGGATGTCCCCTCTCACCACTCCCTTCAACATGGTACTGGAAGTTCTAACTAATGCAAGAAGACAAGGAAATAAAAGGCATACAGATTGGGAAGGCAGAAATAAAACTTTCTTTGTTCATAGACGACATGATCACCTACGTAAAAAATCTGAAAATCAACCAAAAAACTCCTGGAACTAAAAAGCAATTATAGCAAGGTTGCAGGATACAAGATTACTATACAAAAATCAATCACTTTTCTATGTACTAGCAATGAACAAGTGGAATCTGAAATTAAAACACAATACCATTTATGCTAGCACCCCAAAAAATGAAATACTTCAGTATAAATTTAGCAAAATATGTATAAGATCTATATGAGGGAAATGACAAATTCTGATGAATGAAATCAAAGAACTAAATAATTGGAGAGATATTCCATGTTCATGGATAGGAAGACAATATTTCAAGATGTCAGTTCTTCCCAACTTGAGCTATAGAATCAATGCAATCCCAATCAAAATCCCAGCAAGTTATTTTGTGAATATAGACAAACTGATTCTAAAGTTTCTATGGAGAGGCAAAAGACCCAGAACAGCCAACACAACAGTGAAGGAGAGGAACAAAGATGGAGGAGTGATGCTACCTGACTTCAGGACTTACTATAAGGCCACAGTAAACAAGACAGCGTGCTATCAGCAAAAGAACAGACAAATAGATCAATGGACTAGAACAGAGCGCCCAGAAATAGACCCCCATAACTATAGTCCACTGATCTTTGACAAAGGAGCAAAGACAATACAAGGGAGCAAAAATAGTCTTTTCAACAAATGGTGCTGGAACAACTAGACATCCGCATGCAAAAAGATGAATCTAAAGACAGACCTTATACTCTTCACAAAAATTAACTCGAAGTGGATCACAGACATAAATATAAAATGCAAAACTATAAAACTCCTAGAAGATAACATAGGAGAAAATCTAGATGACCTTGGGTATGGCAGTGACTTTTTAGATACAACACCAAAGTCATGATCCACAAAACAAACAATTGATGAGTTGTACTTCATTAAAATTAACAACTTCTGCTCTGCAAAAGCCCTGTCGAGAGAATGAGAAGACAAGCCACAGAATGGGAGAAAACACTTGCAAAAGACACATCTGATTCAGGGGCTGGCCTCGTGGTCGAGTGGTTAAGTTCGAATATCCTGCTATGGTGGCCCAGGGTTTCACCGGTTTGGATGCTGGGTGCGGACATGGCACCGCTCGTCAGGCCACGTTGAGGTGGCGTCCCACATGCCACAACTAGAAGGACCCACAGCTAGAACATATAGCTATGTACTGGGGGGATTTGGGGACAAAAAGCAGAAAGAAAAAAAAAAAAGAAGATTGGCAACAGTTGTTAGCTCAGGTGCCAATCTTTAAAAAAAAGAAAAGACACATCTGATAAAGGACTGTTATCCAAAATATACAAAGAACTCTTAAAACTCAACAATAAGAAAATGGACAACCAATTGAAAAATGGGCAAAAGACCTGGACGGTACCTCCTTAAAGAAAACACACAGATGGCAAGTAAGCACATGAAAAGATGCTCCACATCACATGTTATTAGGCAATTGCAAATTAAAACCACAGTGAGATACCGCTACACATATCCATCAGAATGGTCAAAATCCAGAACGCTGACAGCACCCAGCGCTCACCCCTGCCCCCTGCGCCCAGTGGCCTTTGTAAAGAGCTCCACCCGCAGAATGGGCTGCCCCTTCCCCTCCAGTTGTCCTTATCTTTTCTCCAAACTGCTGGTCTCTTCAATTCTCTAACTTCTCCCATCATTTTTATATTGGATCAAACTTCCACCTTTAATTCTCTAAACCAGTATTTTAACTTCATACAATAATTTCTGTTCTGGTTTTAAGCTGTACCCCCAGTGAAATTAGACCAACCCTGGCAGAATTTCAGGTATTCATGCAGGGTTTGTAGAGGGATAAAGAACCTCAGAGCCAAGACGAGGATGATGAGTAGGTTTCTGCAGATATTTTGCAGTCAATAGAAGCTCCTCTCTTAAGGGTGGTTCATCCGTTCCCATGTTTTCTGTATTGCGTACAAACTTGCGGCTAACTCACATGAAAGAAAATGTTCAGCGTGTGGCATAAGCAATACATACTTGGTCTCTGTCCCCGGTTCCTGACACCGAGCTCCTGAAAGCCTGTAATTTCCTGAGTGATGGGGGGATGGGAGCATCTTACACTGAGCCCCTAAATCCCTTGGAATTTCCTGGGTGATAGGAGCGTCCTTCGTTCCAGTGAGGTGACTCTGGGTGGGCTCCTGGGTAGTTCAGAATGGGGGCTGGTCAGCAGAAAGACCAAACCATGATTAGAAGCTAGGAACCTTCAGCCCGGCCCCATCCTCAAGGGAGGGGAGAGGGCCGGAGACTGAGTTAATAATTGGTCACACCTCATGATGAGGCCTGCGTAAAAATTCCGAAACTAGGGCGTTTGGAGAGCTCCCGGGTGGGTGAACACATCTACGTGCTGGGAAGGTGGTGCACCCCAACCCCACGGGGACAGAAGCTCCTGCGCTCAGGGCCCTGCTGGACCTCGCCCTTTACCTCTGCATCTGCCTGTTCAACTGCACCCTGGATGATAAAGCAGTCATGGCAGGACAGGGCTTCCCCGAGTTCCGGGAGCTGTTAAAGGAGGCCATCTAACCCGAGGACGGGTCGAGGGAACTTCTGATTTGTAGCCAAGCCAGAGAGAAGTAGGGGTGACCTGGGACCCATTGCCTGCGCTTGGTGTCTGAGTTGGGGGCAGTCTTGTGGGGCTGAGCGCTCACACCTGTGTGACCTGACACTAACCGCCGGCAGTGTCAGAGCAGAAGTGCAGGCCACCCAGCTGGGGTCTGGAGAGTGGGAGAAGGGGCTGATGAGGGGAAGAAACGCCACACATTTGGTGTCGGAAGAGCTGTGAGTAGAGAAACAGTTTTCTGTGCCATTTTTTAAAAGACTTTTTTCTCAGATTCTTGAACATACAAGTTTTAAGCTAGGCTGCATTTCTGGAAAAACACAAACAGACAAAAAACCTCAATAGATAGTCTAACCTTAGTCACAAGAGCGCCCAAGAGACAGGGCAGAGGGACGCAGGCGGTTAAAGCGGCAGAGCCACGCCCTGATGAGGACGCACTATTTTCATCGTTGTTTTTATGCGGCTTTACAGTGGCAGTGGCTCTCTACCAGGAACAAAGAGTCGTGCCTTCTGTCTCTTCCGTCTCCTACGGAACAGCCGCCTCCGGGCCCCACAGGGCTGTGTACACGGCTGTGCCTCGGCGTGTGCTTCCCAGGGTGAATTTCCCCCCAGCTGCCGCGCCTCACTAAGCTCTCCCGGGAGAGGACCCCTGCGGGCTCCGGCCCCAGGATGCCCTGTCCCTGACTTCCAGGCTTCAGCTCGGGATACCTGGCCCCACACCCCGGAGGAGCCGGGGTTCCGGGAGGGGCCCGCTGAGGGCGTCTGCTCGTGTCCCCTGGGGTCCTCCGGGCCACAACCGCCTCCGACTCTGCAGGGGGCTCCACCTGGCTGCCTGGCCTTCCCAGGCCTCAGAAGAGGGCTGGAGGACACTGTTCCCTTCCCTCCCTCCGCCCTGCCCTGCGGCTCCTCGGCACTTAGAGCAGGCCTGGTGCCAACTGAGATGCGCTGTGAGTGCCAGATCCACACTGGATGTCAAAGACTTGGAAATACAAAGAAGGTGAACTATCTCAATCATTGTCACTTTTATTACTTGTTGAAATGATGGCGTTTCAGATATATGGGGTTAAATAAAAGATTATTAAAACTGATTTCGCCTGTTCCTTTTCACCACGTTAAATGTGGCTACTAGAAAGTTTTGAGTTACCCATGCGGCCGGCAGATATAGCTGTTGGCAGCGCTGCTGGGAGAAACACAGAAGGAAGGCGGCCCCAGAAGGGAGTCACAAGGCCCCCATCTCCTTGTGCCCTTCCAGCCCCCACAGGTGAAGTGGGCTCCTCCAGCAGCGCCCCTCCCTGCTCTGTCCTAGGGGTTGCTGGGCTGGCACACACGCAGGGCAAGGGCGGGGCACAGCTGCTGGAGAACTCCACTGTCTTACACCCTGTCTCTACCTCTGGCCTTCCACCCCAGAATCGGGATCCCAAGGTCACAAGGGCATTGCAACGGAGAAGAATTAGGTATTTCCTTTCCCCTCTTTGGTTCCCACTAGAATTAGCCGTTCCGAATACAGCTCTGCCAAACACCAGCTCTGTCCTCTGCCGTGCCGGGGCTGGGCCCCCAGCCACACTTCCTCACAGGGTGCTGGTCAGTGAGCTCCCCAAACATTCTAAGGGGCCAACGTGATCAGCGAACACAGAAACATGAATAACTTAACCACAGTTACTAAGTTCCTTACAACAGTGGAAGATGTTTAAAATTTTTATTCTTCTTTGCTTTCACAACAGAACCAAAACAGAGTCAACTTAACTAATCTTACCTGCTAGTTTCTGCAAACTAGTTATTTTAACCATATTTTACAAACAATATTATAACAATAATTATGGAGAAATTAATTGGATAATAGAGCTTTTCCACAATTCAAATAGAACTACATAAAAACCAGATAATTTTCAGTCCCACAACTCAAGACGCTACTGATGGAAGAATGGCCTGTGTGGCCTCCTCTGGCGTCCCGGGGGCCCTGGTAGAGCCTGATAACTCATGTGATTCTGGGGAAGCATCTACACTCAGAAACTCTTCAGGGTATTCAGCAGCTCTCTGGAGATTTTAAGCTGTATCCTAGCAGCCCATCTGGAGAATTCATTTCTAAGTAATTTGGGGGAAGATCATGGTTTTTTATGCAGAGAATCCTCTAGAGGAAAATCCCCGGGAGAGGGTGAAGTCAGTAGGGATGGGCTTTTGTTCTCTCCAGGCCTGCTTCGCCCTCCATTCCTCGGTGTGAGCTCAGACAATTCTCCGGGGTCACAGGAACCCGCAGTCTGCTCTGGTCCAGACGACCTGGCTACGCCACGCACTCCCTCAGAAAGGGGCGTTTTGATCGCCAAACCCCTCAGAGACCCTGAGTCACCCCCCGAGTCCCCTGAGGCAGAGGGAAAGCTTGCTCCTAAGGATGTCACTGCTGATGCAGACCGGGCCTCGTGTTCCTTAAAATAACCTTTCTAAACTATAGATTTCCTTCTGAACGCTGAGACAAGCTCTACACGCACTTGCGGTGACTCCCTCGGGCTCTACTCCATTTTCAACCCCTTGGATTTAAACTCAGTGTGGAGGATCTGTGCCAAGCACCTCCCGAACTCCTCCAGGACCATCTGCTCGGCCAGGCACTCAGAACACTGCCCCTTCTCCGCCTCTTCCCCTTGAGCCAGCAGACAGGCGCACGTGGCCTCCACCACCTCCCAGGAGATGCACGAGGGAGCCCGCCTGTCGGAAACAGACCAGTCAAAGGCCCGGCCCACCGCCCCGCTGTTTTCTCTGCAAGGAGCATGCGGTCATGATACTGCCTGAACATGTCACCAGGTGCGTTGTCTTCCTAACAGTGGAAACGATTAACTGGGGCCATGTCAAGGATTGCTTTTAGAATACAATATAGAGGACAGGTAAAGCTGTCCGCTTCTTGACATCCCTCTCAGGGTAGATTCTTAAATTTTCTCATAATTAGATCCACCAGGCAACCCAGAGGAACCCGTGGGCCGGGCAGGGGTGGAGGGACCAGGAAGCTCAGATAAGACAAGTGCCTGCAGACCGCGGCACAGCCTGGGATGGAGCTCTGTGCGGGCGTCCCCACTAAGGGAAGCCCTGTGGGGTCGGTCGGCCCCTCCTCCCCACAGGGCACTGGAGCTGCAGAAAGCCAAATGGCCCTGAGGCCTCACCTCGCCGTCAATTCTTGGGGGCGCACGGTCAGGATGGCCTTGCCTCCTAATGCCCCTTGGAGCCCTGAGCAAGGGCCTCAAAGACAGTTGTTCTCCAACACACAGGACTAGCCACTTTCCCCTCTGAGCTCAGGGGCAATGGTGACTTAGCCAGACAGTTGCCTGGCTTTATAAAGTGGGAAAACTTTATAAAGTATTAAAAAGCACTGAATTACGAAAATAGAGATGGACGTTGGGATTGGTTAAAATCTCTCTATAAAGACAATATGCAATGACTTGTTGAAGATGAAAGAACATGGCTGCCCTCAGGTCACGAAGAGTCGTAACATTTTGAGGTCAGCCTCCAGTGTACGGAGCCCCGCTCCCATTCCATCGGACACACAACGTCCCAACGTAAGGGGACAGATAACATTTTCACACATAACTTCCCAGAAGGTGCAGCCACGTTTGGTAAATTTTTACTGATAAAGACCTCTGCAGGTCCCAATGATGAGTGTTTCTCATGTCTCTCTAAGCAAACAAGCATAAACTTGGATTTTCAAAATGATATTAATTAACTAATGACATCTGGTACTTTATCATGACATGACCCGTCATGAGGAACTCAAAGACATTTTTAAATATGAATGAATCTAGTCCAATAATAGTATAATCGTTACTCAACTTTTGAGACCTACTAGGATTATAATTTGGCCTCAAAATAATGAAATGGGAAAACATCCAACTAATGTGAATCCGTTCTCTCTTTAGGAAGGAGTAGAGTGTGTGAGCCCATCTCTTTGCTGTCACTTCACAGGCATTTGCCGTCTGGAGACCACATTGTCTGAGGTCAGCGGCCTGTGGGTGATCCCTGCAGGGCCTTCTGCTCTTGTACAAAACAGGGGTAACTCAGCCCGTGAGGCCCAAAGGGCTGAGCTAAGAGGACAAATAGGACAAAGCGTGCTCGGCAGGGGGGCCTCTGAGGAAACAGGTGTGAGGTAGGGCTGGTCCAGAAGAGGAGGCGGGCGTCCCCCTCCCCATCCCTCGTGCCCCCGCTGCGGACACACAGGCTTCCCTTCTGGCGTATACAGGGTTTTAACTCTCCTCTCAAATTAACCTCAATTTGCCCCACTATGAGGGTTAGTGCAGAGTACCTACCTATCTTTTCTGAATTTTGGTAGTCCTGAAAATTTACTTGGTGACCAATGATGGCTGCCTTCAACGCCTCCAATTTCCACGTAGTTGGGCATGTTCATTAGTGTCTTTCGTTCTGGGCTTTCTTCATAATTTTTGCAACCAATGCATTTGCAAATAGAAGAGCACATAATTTTGGCCTGGTAATATAAAATGCCTCAATAAAATTACATTGCCCTACAATTCACCAAAAACCAACAAATTCTATTCGGGCCTTAAAGAGCTCTTTGTTTATATTCGTGTGTATATGTGATCTGCAATTTTCATACCCCCCAAAAAGGGCAGAAACGCAGAGGAGGAAATGACCGTGATGTGAAGAGAGCGATGTGCATTTCCGCACGTGTCACTGCTGTGGGGACACAGTGTGCTGCTGACAAGGAAGGTGGGGAGTGGGCTGCGGAAGGCTGGTGGGCGAGCGTGGCTGGGAGTCCCAGGCAAAGGGAGGGCGCGCTGTCCCTTGTCCGCTGGGAACCCAGCGAAGCGCCTCCGGGGACCCGTCGGAGGGAAGCTGCTCTAGCGGCTGGGCTGTGAGGTCCAGCTCTGTAAGCAAGTCCAGCGCCTCTCTTGCAGCAGCCGGGGCGATACGCGGGCGCTGCTGGTGCAGGGAAGGTGCAGGTGGGCAGAACCGGAAACCCACCGGGCGCAGGCCTGTGCCGGGCGTGCTAAGGGAGCCCTTCCTGCTTCCTTGTGGGTGGACTTTGTTTTTGTCACACGGCAGCGTGATGCTCAGGCGCCAGGGGTGCGGGGGTCCCAGGTGTGCCCGGCAAGCCTGGGTCCAACCCCTTGCTCGTGCTGGTCCTGGGGCAGTCTGAAAGCTGGCCCAGCCAGCCACTCTGGTTTTCGGCTTGTCGTTTCAGCCCCTGGGGATTTCCCTCTGTTCTTTTCAGCTCAGAGACGCATCTCAAAGGGGATCTGCTGTGTTTTATTCTGCAGCTCTGGGTGTTTCAAGCAGAAGGTTTTTCAGGATTTCTGGTCTACTCCAATGCCAGACATTACAGTGCAGACATGTCTGCACGTCACGTGGGCCGTTGTCTGGCAGAGCTGGGCCTCTGGAGAGGGGCTGACTCACTGTCTCATGGCGGCCAGGGAGGGCACTGTGCAAGGCAGAGAGGGGCCCATGAGGACATTTGAAAATGGGTCCACTGGGGTGACGTCACTCACTTTTTGAATTCTGTATCTCTGCAATGTTTTTGACTGTATTTTCAAAATCCTAGCTGGGGGACTGCTGGGTCTTTCAATGTGTGTCTCCAGAACCATGAGGACTTTTCTAAAGCCTGACCTTCTACGACAACCTTTTAAAAATCAAACCCACAGGTACCCCCAAGGCCTCAAGCAAATCAAAGGAGAGCCTTTTAAGGGTGTTTCCTGGCTGCTTCACTGACAGGGCCTGAGGGGTCCCTCCCTTCCTCTCTCTTCCTTTAACACACAAAGAAAGAGAGAGGGAGGCGAGAGAACCATGAAACTAAAGCAGAAGGCGAGGCCCTCTACTACCGTTATATCTTTGAGAGAAAGAAAAAAGCTTGTCTCTAAGAACGGGTCTGCCCCATGCTGTCATCTCTCTAGTGGCAAAGGCCGACTGCCCGTTCTGGTTTGAGGGGCCCCGCAGGAGCTCCCCACCCCAAGCACCCAGGCAAATGTTCACTGGGCTACAAGGCTCCCCGGGGGACCTGCTGTCCCCCACGGCCCCACCGAGAGCATCTCCCCTCTGCTCAGAGAGGAAGAGGCATGGCCCCCCTCGAGGAGCCCCAGAACTGCTGGCTCCCGAGTGTGGCTCAGAGCATCAGATCAGCAGCTGCAGAACAGACAAAGCCACAGCCGTGGGCACCTCCCTGGACACTGAGGGGTGGGCCTGAGGAGGCTACATGCTCCCAAGGGAGCCCTGGGTTAATTTACTTCCTTCATAAAGTGTAAGTGATATTTGAGGAATTAGTAGGGATTATATGAGTGCCCTTTTAGAAACCATGGAAGGAAGAAAACTAAATTATATTTTTCTTTTTAAACTATAGTAAAGTTGTTTCTTTAGGTAATGCTGGTGTATAACATTATGTAAGTTTCAGGTGTACAACATTATAACTCGATCTCTGTATTCACTACAGCGTGCTTACCACCAGAAGTCCTGTTTCCATGCGTCTTACAATTGACCCCCTTTACCCATTTCACCATCCCCGACCCCATTCCCTTCTGTTAACCACCAATCTGTTGTCTGTATCTATGAGTTTATTTTTCTTTTATTTTGTCTGTTTCTTTGTTTAGTTTTTTATAGATTCCACATATGAGTGGAATCATATGGTATTTGTCTTTCTCCATCTAACTTATTTCGCTTAGCATAATATCCTCAAGGTCCATCCATGTTGTCACAAATGACCAGATTTCCTTCTTTTTTGCGGCTAAGTAACATTCCATTGTAGACACACACCATATCTTCTTTATCCATTCATCTGTCACTGGGCGCTTAGGTTGTTTCTGTATCTTGGCTATACAGTAAAGTTTGTTTTTTTTTAACCACAAAAGCTACTTAGGCCAAAATATTTACCTATTTTTTTTAAAAAAAATACTAGGAAATTGATCACTAACCTCATAGCATTCACAGTAATTCTTAAGGCAGCCTGACCTCTTGCAATTACATCCTTTGTTATGGCGAGGCTTAACGTCTCCCAATTTTCCTTTCCCAATTTTTGGTTGGAAAGCTTCTGGATTTCTATCAAGACAAGCCTAAGAGAAAATACATTTTATTATTTAAAAATAAAGTTCAGTGGGAGATATCTCGTTTGCCTGTCCTTTTGATCTAGCTGTTCCTTTAGGAGGAGCCACCATGAGCAGCGCGTCTCCTCACTTGGGAAAGCGCACGGCTTCCTGTTTCATCTCGGTCCATTACTTAAAGGCACGCTGCAGCCACAGCTCCCCAGGCTTGGCTTGTTTGCCGAGTTTGAAAGTCTCACACATTTACTGTCAAATCAACAGATGGTGAAGACAAAGGAAACCACGTGTCCACGTGGGCGCGTCTCCTTCCGGCATTTCTTGTACACGTTTCCTAAGATGGTTGGGCGCGTGGTGCTCTGCTCACGGCTCGCGTTTATAAACAGCTCCCATGTCCCAGGCATCTTTCTACGTGATTTACGTGCCTTCTCTCATTCCACCTCACAGCAGCCTTGTGAAGTGTGTACTGCTGTCCTTTCTCTCTTACAGATGAAGAAACTGACACGCTGAGAGGTTCAATCACAAACGGCCAGTGATGACTCCGACCAAGTCCCCAGGCTCCAGTCCAGCCCAGGGTCACAAGCAGCGGGCCACACCTTTCTCATACAGCACGCATGGCTTTTTATCCTGGTTTGTTCATTTATTTTAACTTTCTTCCCTATCTGTCTACTCTCTATCAAGACATACAAACGTGCACATGTTTTTATAACAAAGTAATTCAGGGCTCTTGCGGGAAACTCGAGCAGCCTAGAAGTCGCAGTGGCACCCCTGTCCCTCCCTCTCCCCTCCACAGGTCAACACCTGGGACCTGTGCCGTCCCGCGCCAGGGCCACTAGAAATCCCCATCCTCACAGAAGGTCCTCTGGGTGGCACAGAGCCCGGGTGAGGCTGCCTGTCAGCGTAGCCTACTTTCTACTGAAGTCTGAGGGGCAGTGAAGGCACGGTCTGCAGGGTGGAGCGTGATCAGCTTGGGCCTGCGTGTGCCCCTGTGTCACCCACCCCAGGTCGAGTTAGAGGACATCCAGGCCCCAGAGGCTCCCTCCTGACTCCTCCCATTGACACAGCCCAGTGGGGACCACTCTTCTGACTTTAGCCGCATTAGTGTTGCATGCTCTGGAACTTTCATATAAGTGGAACCACACAGCATGTGCTCTTCTAGGTCTGGCTTCTCTCATTAGCACAGTGTCTGTGAGATTGACCCATGCTGTTGCACAGTGCTGTAGCTCCTCCTTTTTCAGTGATGTGTAGTATTCCACTACATGACACACCTCAACAGACTCAGCCCTTCTACCGTTGGGGTGTTTCCAGTTTGGGGCTGTTGTGAACACAGCTGCCGTGGGCATTCTTGCACGAGCCTGGTAGACATGCGCACTCATTTCTCCTGGCTACATTTTTAGGGATGAAACTGCGGCATCACTGCTCATACAAAGGATCAGCCTTAGTAACTACTGCCCAACAACTTCCCAAAGTGGTGGCACCAATTTCTATTCCTACCAACACTGCATGAGAATTCCAACACTTCTTAAATAAAACTTTTTACTTTTGTGTGTGTGTGTGTGAGGAAGATTCGCCCTGAGGTGACATCTGTGCCAAGCTTCCTCCACTTTGTGTGTGGGATGCCTCCACGGCACGGCTGATCAATGGAGTAGGTCCGTATCGGGATCCAAACCCACAAACCCCGGGCCCATGAAGCGGAGCGCACGGAGCTTTCACCACTTGGCCACAGGGCTGGCCTCCAAAACTCTTTACACTTTTAATTGCAGATGGTGCCCCTTCCCCTAAGGAAAATGCTACTATACTACTGATCTTTAGTGCATCATAATTTTCTTCTGTCCTATGGGTCTGGCAACGTCAAAATTGATAAGGTACTTTCCACTGATTTATCTCTAATTCAAGAGGGGAATTAAATGACTTTAGGAAGAAATCAGAGCAGCCATGGCTCAGTGTGACCATCTCCAGCCTACAGGTGATGGCCTTCAAGCCCCCTTTGTAAACCAGCGGCCCCAAGCCAGCCCCGAGCAGGCTGCAGGCCCCAAACCCAGCTGTCCTGCCTCCTCTCATGATCTCTTGTGCCTGCAGAAAGGGATGGAGACTGTGGGCTCCTGCATTCAGCCTCGAGCCTGCGGCCTGCGGGGCCACGCGAGGTGCTGTTTGCCCCTCAGGAAAGCCAGCATAGGACGGAGAGCTTTCGCCCGTATTTTGTACAGCGGGCTAGCCTCGCCTTTCACACGACACTCTAACAGCTCAGGCTTACCTGCTACGTAATACAACCCAAGTTTCTAGTCCGCAGATCAAGGCAGAGTGGACATCTGCATGTTCTCACCTCCCGAGGCTCTGCTGCCCCTCAGAAGCCGTCCCCTGCGCATGGAGGAGAAAGCCCTCACCGCGGCCAGCGCCCGCACCTCCAGGATGGAGTCCCAGTCACTGTGCGTCCTCCAGCACCCTGGGTCTTCCCAATATCGAAAGTAGGAACCTCTGGAGACAGTCTTATGCACCTCGTAAGCACTTTTAAAATGCATATATTTAAGGGAAATTTGTTACCTTAATGGCCTTAAACCGCTCAATTTCATGACGTAAATTGTTGCAACAATTATTACAGTTGCAGTTGTTGCAAAAGTCCCCGCTGGCAAAGCAGTCACAGTACCTGTGGGGACAAGGAGAGCGCGTCAGGGCACAGGCGCGGGGCACATAAAGGAAAACAAACCAAAGCACGAAAAGAGCTGGCCGCACGCTGTGGCCATTAACTTTTATGTCGACGACTGACTCCTTTTTTTAATAAAAACAAGATCACCTGGGAGGATGTCCTCCAGCAACTAACGCAGAAGAAAGAGAAACTAGTTAAAACCACCAGTTTCAGAAAATAGGAGTTTGCAAAGTAAAATAGTTTCCTGGAAAATGCCCGCTGATGTCAATTGTCCCCGGCCCCCAAACGCCCACGGCCGCTCTCCCAGGAGAACCATGACATGGTGGGTGGGAACATTCCAGTAATAAAGAGCCATTTTCCAGCTCTCAGCTCACCACTCTCCCAATCCACCCAGCACGACTGCGGGTGAGTTCTCCTCTTGGCCAGACCTGACTATGAGTGGAAACTGTGCAACCTGGAGGTCGAGCCTGGCCTAGGCTTTACCTTATTTCATCCTGTGTCACTGTGTGGAGGACAGAGAAATGAGGGATGGGAGAAACACATGTATGACAGGACTGCTATCATGCTCGGTCACAACGCCAGGGTTGTTCGTGAACCTGGGTTCTACGGAACAGTTTTGTTAGTAGAATCCCCTCGAGTGGAGAAGCCACTCCACGGCTTCCATTGGGACTAGAGAAGACCCATGTCTGAGACGAAGATCATGAAAAAGAGCTTCAAACCCAGGTTTTTACCATCAGCTCTGCCACCAGCTCCCCGTGTATTTATCATCCGGCGTCTCGAGCTGTCCAATGGAAGTCATGGCACCAACCACCAGTCTCACGCGCTGCCAGGGAGGCCTGAGGCCCACGTGGCTGTGCCTGCCGCGGAGCTGGCGAGCTGCCTATAGTGCCGCACGAACAAAGGCAGGGCCTCCGTGTCTGGCAAGCTGGCAGACTAGGTGTCTGTGGAAACCTTCCTGTTGCAGAAGTCCTAAACATGATTCTTTAATATCTACTGTTCTAATTTTTTTAAATAATATTTTTAGGTCCACGTCAAGAGGAAAATAAAGGAGATCATCAGAGGTGGAAAGAACAAGCCATTGTGAAGCCGAGGGGATGGGTTCTGTAGCTGCCCAGTACTGTCCTGGGGCGTCTGCTGGTGCCTAGTGACCTAGGGCTTGGGTCCCAACAGGCTGCTCAGTCAGGAGACAAGACAGCGTCTGGGCTACCAAAGGTGGAAGTTGCATCAGAGACTCTCCCCCCGCCCCAAGCGTGGCTCCCCAAGCGTGGCTCCGTGACAGGCCACCTCCCCTCCATCCACTCTACAGAAGGAACGAGCAGAGATACAGCCCTCTCTGCGCCCTGGCTGGAGAGCAAGGGGAAAATGTGAGAGACCCTCCTATGCCTTCCTAACGACGAGGATGGAGAGCAGGGAAAGGAGACAGCGAGAGAAGGTGCGGGGCTGGTAAACAGGGGAGAGAGTTAATTGACAGCAGCCTCGAGAGCACTGAACCCCGAGTCAGCAGGAGAGGGCTCTGAAGACTCAGGCTGCTCTGAAGTGGAGGGAGGGGGATGAGACAAGAACAGCACTGCATGAAATCCCACTTAGAAGGTAGTGAGCCCCCGTGCCAGCAGCTGTTGACTGCCTCTCTGCCACCGCAGCAAGAGACTGAAGCTGCTCCGGGGGTAAAACAGTTGAGGACTGGGGTATCTAACGAACAAAAGGAGGGGAGGTGGTGTTGAGAGCCCCCGGCTTCTTCTGCTCGGCTCCCAGAATCCTAGCAGGAGGCTGGAAAAGCCCTCTCGGAGGAGCTGACCAGCCCAAGGGGAGAGAGAGAAAGAGTCCGACATCGAGCCTTCCCAATAAACAGCTCAGTCACGTCGCCTGCAGTGAAGCCACCGCGGGCCAGCCCCAACCGCTGCACCCCGAGTCCCCAGACAGCTCATGCCCATTCTTCAATGTGAGCAGAGGGACAGCCAAAGATCAGCAGACACTTCAGGAAATCTTCCGATATGAAAGACAGAGGCCTAAAGAACAGACTACGCAGGGAAAAGAAAATTGGGCAGAGAAGGGTGTCCACAGCCTCAGATAGATTAAGAAAAGTTATTGCATCCATGAAACAGGAAAATGATGTTCACTGTTACTGTAACTTTGTAAGCCTTGAATTCTGATAGGTAATTTCCCCCTACTTCTCTAGAAGAGTGGACTATGCTCAACTCCTTGTGAAAGACTGAACTTTAGACTTATCTCATCAAGTAAAAATTTTGTTGAGGTTTAAAAAAAAAAAAGAAATGATGTTTAAAAAACACTCAGAGTATAAAAAAGATGCTCTGGAAAATATAAAAGTAATCACAGAGACGAAAGATTTAACAGAAGGAATGAAAACTAGAACAAAACAATAAAAGTAAAAACAACAGGAGAAAGAAAAACGTAGAGGACCAGAGTAGAAGGTCCAACATTTCTGTGATAGAAGTTCCAGAAGGATAGAATTTTAGGAACGAAGGATAGAAAATAATTCAAGAACGTTTCCCTGCCAGGTGCCCAGCAGGGTAGATGAGGAGACCCAAACCAAGACATCTCACTGTCAAGTTTCAGAGCACTCGGAACAAAGAGAAGATTCTCTAAGGTTCCAGAAAGAATAACAGCTTTCATACAAAGGATCGAGAAAAAGAAAAGTGTCAAAATTTCAATAGCAACATCAGAAACTAGAAGAAAATGCAGGAAAACTTTCAAAATTCTGAAGGAAAATTCAACTACTGGAACTTGAAGTTGGAAATCCAACTGTGCAATCCGAAGGGGTTATCTAAGTGTGAGGACAGCCCAAGACACTTTTAGACATGTAAGTTCTGCAAAAAATGATCTTCCGAGCACCGTTTCTCAGGAAGCCACTGGAGGACGTGCTGCACCAAAGAGATGCAGTAAACCGGTGAGGAAGATAACAGGAGCCAGGGGACAAACGGGAGAAAGAAGCAAAGGAAAGCCTTGGCCTGATGGCAGAGGGAGAGTGCAGGGTAAGAGGCGGGCGCAGACCTGGAAACCAGCCCTCCAGAGGGGTCGGGCGGACGGCTCTGGGAAAGCCTTCTTCAAGACGAAACTGACTGAACGCCTACGTGTTTGAGCACGTTGAAAAGACAGTTACACCACCAGAGGAGAGTTTAGGCTCCAGTTAGCGTATGTGCATGGAAAACTAAGTGCTAAGCATTAATCCAAGGGAAAAAATAAAGCACTGCAGGAAAGGACGATGGATGAAGGCTCAGCAGCGAGCAGAGTTTTCAGTCATAAGATACGAACAATACGAAGCGTCTCTGACGTCTGGGGATGGGAGCGCGTGCGTTGGGAGGGGCTTCTGCGTGAGTGGGGAGAGGAACCACAGCTACACCCGCATCTCCCACGGTACAGAACAAGAGACCGCGCCCAAACGGAAAAGCCGAGAAGCAGCAACACAGCCCTGTTATTTAGATTTACTGAGGCAAATATTAAAAGATTCAGTTGAAAGTTCCTAGAGATCAAAAATAAGGAAGAATGATCAGGGAACCACCACTTTTTTGTCACAAGCCTTGTATAATTATTTGGCTCTTTAAACCATACGTTTGTGTAATTTGGATAAAAATAATCAATTAAAAGTGAGAAAGGATAAACTGAAATATAAAGAAATTAGATTCAGGTGCAGCATAAAGAGACAAAGAGATTAAAAATGGAGAAGAGGGGTTAAGAGGAATGGCGGCCGGCTAGAGGGGTTCACGCGTCTGATTAGCAGCACAGCAGCACAGAGAGAACATGGCAGAGGCATGCACGGAGGAGGCTGTCTGTGCATTTTCCGGAACTGAGGAAGGTTGTGGGTCCCCTGATTTCAGAAACCTAATGAACCCCAAGAAAGATAAATAAGAAAAACCAAAGACAAAAAGAAATTCTTAAAAGCACCAGAGAGAAAAGACAGATTACCTAGACTGACAGCTGACATCTTGTCAGAAACAATGGAAAAGAGCAGAATAACATCTTCAAAGCACTGAGAGAAAAACTGGCAATCCAGGATTTTACACCTGGTCCAACTACGTTTACTCACCAAGGTCCAGGCTAGGGATGTTTCTTTTCTTGCTATACACACTTTGCTGGGTGGTTTTACTTATTAACTCTTGCCCCTCTGCTTTTTTAAACTTTCTGTTGAAGATCTTTAAATCTGTCTCACCAAACCTGCTCTGTGTCCTGTCCTAAAATCCTGATTTTCTTCTCGCCCGAACATCAGGAAAGGGCACCCCTGTCTGCTGCTAGTCCTTCCTCTCCTTCCTCATCTCCCACTCCTTCGTTAGCCTACTGCATTCGGATCTTCTTCTCCACCCTACTGGCTCTCGAGGGCAATCAACAACCTCCTGCTCAGAAAACATAAGGGCCCCTTCACTGTGCTTTAGCTCTCGGCCGCTTGTGACACCGTTACGCTCCAGAACCACATTCCCAACGTCCTATCAGACATTTCTATCTCCAGCTCAGAATGTCCGAGCCTTAACTGGCGATCTTCTCCTTCGTCTCACTCTGCTCAAGCTGTGTCCCCTCCCCGCACTAGCGGAGGCATCGTCCACCCACAACACGACCCGAGTCACTGCTGACAGTCACCTTGCTCTCATTCCCCACATCCAAGGGTACCAAGTCTACTGATTCTGGCACAGAACTGTCTTACTTTAATTTATTTTTGATACAAGTAAGTCACATTTGTTGTAGAAATTTTTTAGATATAAATAAGCAAAAAGAAAAAAATTACAATCACGCAGAATCCCACTCCCTAGAGAGGATCATTTGATGAATATATTTCAGACTTTTTCTGTAAAACCATACATATTGAAATAAATACACGTTGTTTGACTACATTTATATACAAACAAAAACAAGATCATATTCTATACACTGTTCCAGCGTGCTTTTATTATTTATCAATATCATGTAAACAGATTTATACACCATTTTAACGACTGCATAGTAGCCCATTCTATAGCAGAATCATAATTTAAGAATTCCTCTTATATGAACAC